ACAAATGTATATGAAAAATACGATAAATGACACAAATGATTTGTTGACACGGGAACCCTAGTTGGAAAAAATCATGGAAAACTTTCTTGGTTCACCAAAGTTTAATTCACTACCTCCAAATTTGCTTACAAGTACCTGAGTCTTATATCTCAATCAATGTCATGGCTAAATGCTCCCTTCTTTCTAACCGTGGTATTGATGCTCCCTTTTTTTAAACCCCAAGAGTAGCTCAAGTGGTAACAGGGGATGAGTTATTAACTCAGACAGGATGAGTTATTAACTCAGACATGCTGAGTTTGATCTTGACAACTCCTTGGACCCAGGCCATGAGAGATTTATCTTTAATGAATACCTTAGTTCCAACGTAGATAGACTGTCTTTGTTATTACTGAGGATGAGATTAATCAAGGTGTGTGTAAACAGGTTTAAACACCCCTAACAGTTGCAAAAATAAAATAAAATGCTCCCTTTCGTGAAGAAGCCTCTCTGCCAAAATGCCTCTCTGACATTATGTGTAACTTCACTTAGATTCACCTATGCAAGGATCCTCAAGGCATCGAGCAATCTTGGGCATATCAATTATCCTCGGAATGCAGACACCAATGAGTTTAGCCTTGAACCCCAAGTTGTGAGGTTTGATAAAATCTCTAGATGTTAGCATTAAGTATAGGGATCTAGAGTGGTGGTGTGATCTTTAAGGTATAAGAGGCAAGAATTTATTTCACCAGAGGGATGTCATAGCTTGGGAAAGAAACTCACTATTTATAAGCTCGGAATAAGGACAATCTTAAAATATAAGAAAACTCAAATTCATGAACGATCATTCAATCGGTGGGATGGCGGTCTTAGAGTGTTGGTCTTGAGAATGAAAAACACCTTTCAAACCGACCTAGGAAGAGTAGACCACTAGAGGCAACCTTGGGACCGCTTGAGCGGCCACAAGGGTGGTCTTTGCTCCTCCACCATTTGGCATTTTTCCTGTTTCTTCCTTAGGAAATTGCTCTAGCGAAAGTTAGTGAGTATTGAACGGTCAGCACTGATTTTGTAAGCTTAAAACCAAGCGAAAAATTTCTCCTCTTGAGCACCTATAGGGTGTTGCTCAAGGTAGATCTACTAATGGCTCAACTTATGTTTTAAAAAACACAAAATAGTTTTCGAAAATCTTTTTTGTTAAAAAACACCTAGTAACTATACAAAGATTAATTCAATTTTATTTTAACTCTAATCCACTTAAATCTATTAAACCAATGGATCATCTTAGGTCTCTATGTTATTATATTTTTTCTAAACTTGAATGTACATTCGAAGTTTAAATGATATAGTTTCGACAATTAATCTTCTCGCTTCAATAACACTTTGGATCTTTAATCACTCTAACATAATGACAATGATATATATTAAAATTTAGGGTTAATTATAAATTACACTTTGAAAAATCATTTGAATCTCAATTTGTACCCTCAAATATATAAATTTGTATCAATGTGCACCCCCAAAGGTAAAAAATTTCAATTTATACCCTCAAAGATAGAAATTTGGATCAATGTGCATCTATAACTAACCACCGTCAGTTTGCTTCCTAAAATTAAATTGATATATTCAAAAATTCAAAATCAAACTTATCATTTGAATGTCCAATAAAATGTAGGTATTTATATAATGTTTTTTATATGCAATGCAATATATCACTTAAACTTAATTATTTGAATGCCCAATTTGGGGGACATTTTAGATTGAGAGTATTTTTATTAGAATTTTATAACTATTAAAAAATATGATTTTATCTTGATAAAAAATTATAATTTCATATTACTCTTTATTTTGTGAAAGGGTTCAAATGATTAAATGACAAGTATGATGAGATCTAGATATAATTTATCAATTTAATTTTAGGTACCAAACTAATGAAAGTTAATTTTAGGTGCACATTGATATAAATTTCTATCTTTGAAGGTATAAATTGAGATTTTTGATCTTTGAGAATGCACATTGATACAAATTTTTATCTTTGAGGGTATAAATTAAAATTTAAATGATTTTTGGAGGTATAATTTACGATTAACCCTAAAATTTACAATAAAATTCCCAAAAATAGCAAATAAGGAACTTACGTATCACAAAAACAATCACCAATAATATTCATTCAGTCATAGCCTGAGACTGTACCGGCCTGCCATGGCGGCGGCCATCTATGATAACAAAATAGAGTCTCTTCTTTGAGTTATTTTAGCTCTTTAATTGGAAAAACATAATAATGACTTAGATCGTGTTGATCGATAATTTATATCTTTTAACTACAATAATTTATTTAAATTTAAATTTAAATTTTTAACCTTTTAAGCACAATATCTCATTCAAATTTTAAGTTTTAATAATAATAACTCATTTAAATTTTAACTTTTTAACCACATTATCTCAATTCATATATTAAAAAATAAAAAATGCTTGGGATACGACTAGTAGTTACCTACTTGAGATAAGAATGAAGCAGGGTCAACTTTAGTCAATTTTGGACACTATTATTGGAGGGGTTTGTTCTATGTATCTATGGTCCCATTTCTTAGAACCGAACCGAGCAAACTCAATTTTTTTCCCTTACATTAATGGTAGTCCAAAAGGGAAAACAAAAATCGACATCCCTACCTAATTTTTTTTTTTTTTTTGTTTATGTGCATCGCTGTCAAGTACTGCCTATCCTAACTGTCATATGTTATTGGGAAAATTTTAGTCACGTTTTCCTAGTTTATCATATCTTTAAGATACCTCTTTTATTTTTTGAATCTTCGTTAATACCCTTTTTCAAATTAAATGTGTTAATTAGAATGCAATTTTTATTAAATTGCCTCTGATATATTTGAGAAAAAATTTTATTCACACCCCCTCTAGATAGACATATCTTCAATGAAACCCCTTTTATTTTTTATACTTTTTTACGTATTAAAATTTAGATCGATTAAAATTTGATTCGATCTAATTAAAATTTATTTTTTACGTATTAAAATTCTAGTCAATTAAAAATTATATTTTTTTTACATATTAAAATTTGAGCCGATTAAAATTCTATTTGACATTTTAATCGGTTCAAATCAAATTTTAATAAACTCGTATTGAATTTTAATCAGTCCAAATTTTGATATATAAAAAATTTTAAATTTCAATCAACTTGAATCAAATTTTAATTAGCACAAATTTTAATAAGTAAAAAATTATAAATTTTAATCAACTCAATGCAAATTTTAATCGGCTTTGATAGATCGGGTAGAACTTAAATCGACTTGAATTTTAATACATAAAAAAATAATTTTAATATGCTCAAATTATAATATGCAAAAAAAATAAATTTTAATCAGCTCGAATCAAATTTAAACGACTCAAATTTTAATATATAAAAAAACGAATTTTATTCAGCTCAATTTTTAAAATGTAAAAAAATAAATTTTAATCGGCTCAAATTTTATGTAGAAAGATTATTTAGGGTTTACGTAGGGACATTTTTGATATTTTAGATGATTTTTTTATTTGTCAGAAATTGTGTTTTAATGACAAGGGATATTACTGATGTTTAAATATAAACTTAAAAGAGTGTCAGTGATATTTTTTAATAATAGAGTAGGAGCGGGAATTTTTTTTTCTAGACGGGCACTCTAACTAAAAGTTTTAATTTTTTCTCTGCAGTAAATAAAAATAAACCAACATATTTAAATATTATATTATATTTGAAATATGAATGTTCATTAAATACAAATGGACCAAAGGCGGACATACATAATGTATACAAAAAAAAAAGAACTCTTGACAAAAAATAAGGCTAATTGCATACAATTGACCCCGACAAACTTTTTTTCTTTAAAAGCATTACTTGGTAATTTCATTATTAATATCATGAAAAAAAAAAATTTATATATACAATGAAGCTATAACTGGTTCATTATTTATCAATTCGAGTCACGGTCTCGTCTTGGCTCTAGCCCTGACTTAAATCTTAGAACGTACAAGTTTTCATGCCACTTTTATTCTACCATTGATGTACCTCATTATGCAAAATGTCATGTCCTTTTCAAAAACTTTGCCCACCTACACATTCTCTACATTAATCTTTTTACCCAACTTAACCATACAACTAAATTGTTTTGTTAAAAGACATTATAATTATTACTTAAAAGTTAAATTGTATTTTTAACTTGAAGACATTATTATTATTATTATTATTTCCTCAACTGCCAAAAAAGTTAACGTGATGAAGATCTTTGTTTGATAGAGGTTGATAGGTATAAGGGAGACAGTCTCTTAAAGACTGGAACGTTGGTCTTTGAAGCATAATAACCAAAGTTGACATATTGATATTTCAGTTTTAAAGTTCAAATTTTGCACATTTGTGAGTGTCATATCATTTATTTATATTCTTTACCTTATTTTTATTGATTTTCATTACACGACAAGAATTTGAAGACTATTGCTTTGAACTTAATTTGTTGATTTAATACATCATAATTATTAAATTAGTAGCGAGTCCCAACTAATAGTAAGATTCAGTGTCAATGTAATGATAAAGAGCGATTAAACCAACAAATAAGGCCAGCAACTAGGACCATCCGTAATATATGCCAATCTATCTTACCAAGAACAGGGTACGGTTAATTGATTTCTAATTGGCACTGAACTAGACAAACATGTAAAAATGCCACATCCATGGCTTATTCATTATTCGTAGTACAAATCCGCAAATAAAACACTGCAAATCCTGCCCATCAAAAGGAAAAGAAAACAGCATCTTGCAAATTACTTTAAACACTAATACTCTGTATCATCAAGCACTCCTCACAAGGCAAGCATTATTCAAACACTCAAATATAATGCCTTAATGTCTTTTGTGTAGTTTATATATGTAAGAATTGCAATGGTATATATGAGCAATATACTTATAACTTTCTCTTTGTAGATTTTTACATAGAATAGTAAAATTTAATAAATATCCCTTGCTTTCAAGTGCTTGCCTTGATTCAGAAAGGCCTTTTAAGGTTCTTGAAATCCATTGAATCAACACATTCCAACCTCTCTCTGTGCATATTCAAAAGCTTCAACAACTCACTTGCCCTCTCCTTTGTTCTCGCACTACAACCAACCTGCAAGACCAACAGGAGCTTCTGAAAAGCACCAACTTGCAGGGCTTCAACAAGAACACCGCCGTCTTCTCTTTCTTCATTCTTGCAGAGCTTGCAGAGGGTGGAAACCGAAAACTCGGTTGCCAAATCGGAAACTCTCAATAACTTCTTCACCAAAACTGGCATAGTGAGAGCATGTTCATAGGCCTTTTCTCTCCCTTCATGGTAGCTATAAATTCCATCCAAAACGGCTAACGCCTTTTCGCATATGCTTCTTTCAGAGTTCACAAGCATCTCTATAAGCATTGCCACCAAACCCATCTCGACAAACCTTGCTATAACCCTCTCAGTGTCAATAGATGATGAAACCATATGGTGAATGGTCAACAATGAAGCTTTTGTGGTTGTAAGGCAAATAGGCTCTTTGATCAGCTTTACCAGTGCTTCCATGGCGCCTTCAATTTCCGATAAATAGTGTACTTGACCCGATGAAATAGTCTCTTTTAGAGCCAAAACTGCATTCCTTTGGCCTGACAAATCTCCATGCCTCAGAAACCATATCATGCAACGTAAAGATGAATCTGATCCAAGATAAGACTTGGCCTCTTCATCAAGTGGCAACATCATTGCTAGAATTGATAGGATTTCCTCCAAAACAGCAACATTTTTATCAAAAGAAGCCTTCGAGAATGCCTCAAATGTAGCCGATATAACACTACCTGCCCCATTGGAGATAATACACCTCCTGTTTCTCTCACTGTCCTTCATCAAAGCCTTGATCTTCACCACCAACTCTCGGCATCCTTCTCCGTCCTCTCGATCTTTCACTTCCTCGACTTTTGAGAGAATTGCCTCAACTTCATACGAGCTTATGGGGATTCTAGGAGTGGGAATTCTCTCCACCCCATAAGACTGGTTGTCCACACACCAACCTTGTATCATCTTTCTGATGGAATGATTCGGGATCGGCTCGAGACTCCTCAAGTATTGTTTGGTGATCGGACAGGTACGATTTCCGGCCTCAATCCACTTCTCAATACTCTCTCGATCGTATGTTATCCCCGTCGACAAAGTCACCGGATCTTTCATCAATTCTAAAGATATCGGACACTGGAAATGGCTGGGTATCACTAGCTCCATTGATCCACCATTATCATCCAAATCTTGCTTCTTGCTCGCGTGGCGGGCTGCTCTTCGTCTTCTCCATGATGAAATCATTTTTGGGTATCAAGTAGATTGAATGAAAAGCTTAGAGGAATGGGGATAGAAATATTTGAATTGGACTTGGAGAGGAGGGTCTCAGGGTATATGTATATGTCTATACTCTGTCTTGGTTACGCGGTTCAACTTTCAAAACTCACGAAGATTATAATATTGAAAAGACTAATTATATACTATTGAAACGTTCAATAAGGGGAGTTTCATGAGGGGATTTGAATATTGACCGTTCAAAGTTTGAAATGGTAAGCCGGATTATGAGATAGGGTACCAGGTTGTTTATGAGAGTTTGGATCAAAGAATCAAAGCTTTTGACGGAAAAGCCGTCAAAGTACCAGTCGGTGGAGGCATTAGCGGCGACTGGAGAGAGAATACCTGACTTTTGTTTCTCTCTTACCCTACCTATTATGCGACCAATAAGAGCAACCAAGGGATATGTCATATGAAAAATGTTATGTTTATCAAAAAAAAAAAAAAAATTATCAAATTTTTCATATTAAATGATGTGATATAATTTTCATCATTGAAATATTAATCAGTTCACTTATCTAATGGTGAAAAATTGTGCCACATCATTTGAGGTGGAGATTTGGTAACTATAGCATTACCCGTCAAATATTGTTTGTTAAATTTAAATTTGAAGATTTATATGGTAATTTGACATTTAACATTTGACATCTTCATCTTACACCGTAAACTAATATGTCAAATGTTATATGCCAAATTTATGTAATACATGAGTAAGAAGTTAAAATATGTTAGGATTACACATAGTAGATGAGATATTTGATATTATGCCAAAATTTGGCTAGCACAATCAGCATCTGACATAACACAATCATCATTTGACACAACTGTTCGATATACTACTTTTATTTTTTTTCATGATTTTTTATTATTTTATAATTTTTATAGTCAATTATCACAAATCATCCAAATTAAAATCAGCAATGTATCTCATACAATATCGTAGCCTTATCCCTAGAGAAATTTTGTACATTTTATGTACACCAAGTATCAGAACCATATAGTAATCTACCTATTTATATATATAAAACAAACAAATTAGAAGGAAATATGCTTGAGAAGCCTTCCATCCACATTTTTTTAATTTTTTAGATTTTAGAATTTTTTAATTCAAAACTTAAAATTCCCTCTAATGAAACGCTACCATTTATCATTTGTAATCACCACTCAACTTCTCGACTAATAAACCCTTATTTTTTAAAATTTATTCAAAAAACATAATTTTTATGACAATTTTTTTTAATTAATTGTGTCATCTAATTTCTCAAATAATAAAATGAAAGAGAAAAATCATAAATTGAATAATATAAAAAGAGATTCTAATTATAATTTTCGTACATCGCACGGTACCACAGCCGGTAAAATTGTATTTCAAAGTTTCCCACTAACTATGCACACTATGTCAGTCTATAACTTGTGTGAATAACACAAAAATTTTCTCCTTTTCCCTCTTTACCAAATTTGTCCCCTTAGACGCGCAACTAACGCGCACCAAACGCGCACGACTTGAATTGGGCAACATGGTAGGTCTGAGTCATGACCTGTTAAACGTGTACCATCAAACTAGGATTTACCCAGTTTTAGTGACGAAAGACTTCAACTCGGCTTTAACTGTCTTCACGCGTCAAGAGGAACTATGCCTCTGAAGGATTTTAAATGACTTCACACGAAACTTAAATAAAAATGATACGGTATGATATGTCCATAATACGATCTTGATACAACTTCGATTTGACTATATGTAGTATGATCTGATTAATAATTTGATATCACACGATTTATAAGACTCAAAATATTACACGACATGATATTACTTGAAACAGTTTGACAACAACCTACACACTTAGGGACTGTTTGGTAAAAAGATACGAGGGCTTGCTAAGATTGGTTTGTGAAAAATAATTGAAATGACCCTCAAATCCCATATTTACATTTAAAATTCAATCCTAGAATTTTAAACCCAGCCCGTAGCTGCTCTGAAGATTAAACTCATAATCATGGATTTGACAAAACTTAGGGAAGAGGTGAGTTTGGAAAGATAGGTGAAGGGGGTTAAGGATGCGACAGACAATTATATCCCTTAACATAGGTTATAAATTAAATTAATTAATGATAAAATAGTAATTTATAAAATAAATAATTGTTAATAATTATGATATATCCATGAGTTCTACATGTGTATATGTTGCATATCAAACATGAATATGAACCTTATTGAATATTGAATTCGTCCTTGTGTTGCACTCCTTTAAAAAAAAATATTGAATCTCATTTTTGTAAAAAGAGGTTTAAGTTTAGAAGAGTTTGAAAAAGTATATTCAAACCCCTCTCTAATATTCATCCAAACAAAGCCTTGGGGATGGAGTCAGAATTGCACCAAATCTTATGTATAAAAATAATTTGAGCTTTTTATATTTGCTCGGACGGTCGTATGTGATATATCCTATTTTTTAGTGGTAATTTATTAATTTAACTCAAATTGAAGCCTAATGTCACTACAACCATCTACACACTTTATGGTGGAGCCAGGTTGTAATATCCGATACAGGTATGTGTTTGGATTCTTTTATAAATAAATAAAAAGAGAAGAAGTTATTTAAAAAATATAAAATTAGTTGTACGCTAATATATTACAGTTAAAATTGTAATTCTAAAAAATTAGAAGGATTTAAGTGACATTAAAGGGAGATAACGATAGAGAAAACAAAGAAAGAAAATGCCAGAGAGAAGGTAGAAGGCAGAACAAAAAGAAAAAAAAAAAAAAGGAGAAGTGGACTCACCAAAGGTATGAATTCAATAATTATTCGTAGGGTTATAAGTTATTCAATTACAAAATATTAAGCTTATATATATGTGTGTGTGTGTGTGTGTGTGTGTATGTGTTCGTGGTAAAGGATAGTGAGGTATATAAAAATGGGTTTTATTGGAAGTTGTAAAGAATTGATTTAAAGTTTTTAAAAAATTGATTTTACATAGTATAGATTTATAGTTTTTGTTTTTTTGAGGCCTTTAAAGAATTGATTTCATGTTTAACAAAGCAAAAAGGAAACAAAGAAGGAGGAAACCAGAAGCTTACAGGCGGCTGGTGAAGGAGATAAAGTTTTGAATTATGGAAACCTCCTCTTAGTTTTAAGTAGTTTTATTTTGATCCCTGTACTTTGATAAACTCAATTTTTGAGTACTATGGAACTTGGTAATTTATAAAACTGACCCAGAATGTTTGAAACAAATATGGTTATGTCAAAACAATCCCCGAGTCTTGAAGAATTTCTGAAATTTTAAAACGACTCCTAAAAGTTTCGAAAGTGTTTAAATATCAATAGTTACTATAATAAATCAAATTGAGGTGGTATTATTAGAAAATGGGCCTCTAGAATCTTAAATACTATTTTGAAAAATTTATGGCAGGCCGGAAAACAGAAAATTCGTTTTTAAAGAAATTACACTTTGACCCCAAGGGTTTTAAAAATTATGATTTGACCCCAAAACTTTAGAAACTTTTTTCAAACAGTCCAAAATACTTTCATACGCTGTTACCTCATATTAGAAATAATATTTATATGTAAAATATATATTGAGTATATATTAATGATTAGGAAGTATAAAAATTAAATATAGAATCGCGAAACGACGAAGTAAGAAAAAATGGATTGATTGTTATATGTTATTTTAGATTAGGTGGTGATTGCATTGAGGTTGGAAAAGAGTGTTTTGAATTAGATTTTGAAAATCAAGGTGAGTAGTTTATTACTTTTATTGGGAGGATTTTCTATATTAAACTTGTGGCTGCGTGTGTGTGAATTTTTCATATATATGATATATGTTGATGTTTGGGGTTACAATTAAATATTTTTGTAATTGTGAATTGTTACAGACATGAATTTGCAAAACTTATGAGATGATTTTATATTATTGCTTAAATGGTTTTGATGATGAAAGAGAAATTTTGTGTGCCAAAGGATTAAAACATCAGTTTTAGTGTGTGTGTTGAAATCATGTTTTATGAGAAGGGGACTGAGTTACCAGGTCTAAATGGTAACAAGATTGTATATCGGCGTGGTCGGTATATGGATGTGCACATAGGGGCCAGTTATCAGGATAGTGATAACAAAAGATGGGACCAGTCATCAAGCTAGTGATGACAAGAGATGGGACCAGTTACCAGGCTAGTGATAACAAACATGATTTGACAAGTGTATTTGAGACTGAATGTGTGTGTGAGTGTTTTGAGCTATAAATGTCTTTTCTTTTATAAAATTATTATGATCATGAGATCATTTTGTTTACATGGTTATGTGAAAGGGATTGAAGTACAATTTATTGTATTTATATACATAACAAAGTTTATTTCTGTGTATATGAAATGTGAGATTTATTTTCAAACCTCGTTAAAGGTAGTTGCTACTCACGGGCCTTTGTGCTTACCCAAATATTTAACATTTTTCAGGTGAGAATCAGGAGGAGGAGTAAGTCCTCAGATAGACAATGGATTAAAAGAATCGAAGATTTATTTTACTGTAGGTCTTCAGGAATAAATATTTTTTTATAGTTTTGAGACAAGTATTCGATTATTTTGAGAACAATGTTATTTTTGCTTAGAGTAGTGAATCTTATGGATTAATTATTGTTTTACATGAGTTTAGTAATAATGTCGGTGATGTTAGTTTATTTCTCTAGTATTCATTAAGTCGGTGATATGGATCACTTTATTATTTATCTTCCGCTGTATTTTGCATTAATTATGCACAGGGATGGTTGGTTAAGGCCTTGGTGGCCGGTCTGCTGCTCACCCTATGTGATCCGGGGTGGGGGTGTGACNGGATCACTTTATTATTTATCTTCCGCTGTATTTTGCATTAATTATGCACAGGGATGGTTGGTTAAGGCCTTGGTGGCCGGTCTGCTGCTCACCCTATGTGATCCGGGGTGGAGGTGTGACAAGAGCGGTATCAGAGCATAGGTTTATGAATTACCAGAGGATTAGGTTGAATCTTAAGAATTATTTAGGGTTTAATTGATTTGGATTGAGAGATATGAAATGATGATACTATTACATAGTATTATTGC